GAAGAATTATATCAGACATACAAATTCCTTACTATTAACCAGATAAAAAGTATTGAGCAAACAAAATTAATACATTGTGCACAAAATAACATTCTTGAAACAAACACTACCTTTAAGCAAAATAAAGACATTCATCAATATTTAGGGATGTACCGGATGCATCTAAACATTCCGGTATAGGATTCGGCACCTAAGCATATTTCATTGGTCCGTTTGAATTCGGACCGTCAATTGATGCGGAGTGCCGAAATCGGTACTTGAATGTTGAACGGTGCTGAGCCTCAGGTCAGAATGGTCCATTAGCAACATCCATATGTGGAGTGCCGAATCTAAGGTCAAAATGTTAAACAGTGCTGAGCATCAGGTCCGAATGTTGCCATGCGTTTGGCGCAGTTTTTATATCAAATCAGCTGTCCACCTCCTTCGTGTTCCTCTTAGCTACAATTTTGCTACGGATGCGGTTTATTTCGCCGTTGCTTCATGTGTTCTTGTGCTTAAACATGCAAGATGAGTTTGCCTAGATCATTTAAACACTTTGAATGTGGTGAGCAAATATAGCGAGCCAACATTTTGGAGGAAAACGATATAAAGTAATGGATAGAAGAGTATAGTGATATAACATAAACGAATTGGAATGTGAAGTCAGCGAAAAATAATTATAACAGATTCAAATGCAGGTTTGTGTTCAATGTCAATTCAATGATGTAGAATCTTCTTGGATGCGAATAGACTTTGGAAAATACATTTTTTAGATATGTTTTTGCATGCCATCATAGTGCTTATAAAAAAGTGGATCAAGGAAATAATAAGAAAGGAAAATCCAAAAACTGCTGTTGCCTGGCTTCAATTGATATTTTAATTAAACTAAGCACCACAGATACCAAAAAAAAAGATAGATATATTAGGGTATTTATTTTCAAAATTTTCTATTCTAATTTGCCAGGTTTCAGGTTTTTTATAATCCCCCCCCCCTGGGTCCGCGGTCCGCCACTGCCAATTATTGTCCAAGATTTTTGGAAATGTATCGTTGAAATAAAATAGATGTGTAACAAAAAGTAAATAAAGTTTGTTTGTTGATTTTGTGCCGCGCTAACGGAGTAACATTCCAATCTGCAGCTGGGCACTGTTTAACATTTTGACTTTTGATTCGGCACTCCACATAGTATATGTATATACCATTCCGACCTGAGGTTCAGCACCGTTCAACATTCAAGTGCGGATTTCGGCACTCCGCATTAATTGGCGGTCCGAATTCAAACGGACCAATGAAATATGCCTAGGTGCCGAATCCTATACCGGAATGTTTAGATGCGTACCGGATCGGGTATTTGGCCGATCCGGCCGGCTCCTAACCGGACCGGACCGCCGGAATTCCGGCCAGATCAAACTGTCGATCCGTCCGGAATTTAATAATAATTTGAAAGGGCGCATTCTTTTTTTACCGGCGAACCTACAGATGAGCAGTCTATCTCTTTCTAGTACATAGGAAATCAAGATGACTTACTCATAATGGAGAATAGCTCGATGGAAAAAAAGATAGTTCGATGGAAAAAAAGAAAGCAGCTAAAGTTTGGTTATGTTTGAGTTTGGCTGCTCCTTCAAGTAGATTGGCGCATCCCCGAGTCTATCTGGATGTCTATTTTCAAAACCGGGGAATAGCGTTCTCATGAGAACGATTGCTCTGTCTTTGTTAGTGTTATGGAAATATGAATATGGGTGACGAAGACCTTTGTTCTCATGAGAACGTTTCTCCCCTGTCTCTAGAATAGGGACCACAGACATCTGACTCGAACGCTTGTGCACGTAAAACTTAAACGATTTTCAGTCCAGTGTAGTTGCAGTTGTTTTGTGTTCCTGTGTATCCAGCTAAGTTAAAAATGTCAAAAGTATGGAAGTTTTTTGAAATCCATACCTGAATTTAACGTTTATGTTTAAAAAAAAATATTGTTATGGTTTACAACTTTAATTTTAATAAAGTTGTAAGTATTCTTCTTGCTTTCCGCTTATAAATTTATTATTTAACTTATTTTAAAATTTTCGGAAATTCCGGCCGGATCGCGGTTGCGATCCGGCCGGAACGGTAGTTCCGGGCTATAGGCCGGATCGGGCCGGATTTAGTGGTACCGCCGGAATTCCGGTACATCCCTAATCAATATGATATAAGATCAAAAAATGCTCTCAGAAATACATTTGCCAGAACCAAGAAAATGCAAGATTCCCCTTATCAACGAAACATCCAAACATATAACAGCATTCCAGATGAACTACTGACTGTAGATTACAAAAAAAACATTCAAAATCTAAAAAAATGTGATTGTGAGAGAGACTATACATACATGAGTTATTAGATGTATTCATATGTAAATTTATATTTAGGTATATTTATACATATATTTAATAAATTAGAAAATTTTGGATTAATTTACTTTGCTTTTCCATCCATAGACGCGTTTCGACCTATATCAGGTCTCATCAGTATGGCTAGGAAAAGCAAAGAAAACAAATCCAATTTTTGTGCATCTATGCAAAATAGAAGTATGATGATGGTCGAAATTTTCTAATCAGTGTGTAATAAGGAGAAATATTTTTTTCCTATTTTGGGTTTTCCCAAGGAACTGATTTTTGGTCAGCCAATTAGATGGCATCACTAATACAGCAAAAATTGCTGTTTAGTGTTGAATCCTTGTCTTAGATGGCGCCACGATCAAATTTCGACTACAGTGACTCTATTACCTACAGTGGCGACAATTGCTGTCTTAAGTCGATTAAAGGCGAATAACCAGTCGGTTATATTGACAGATGAACAATGCATTAACTGTCATTTATTACCGATTGGTTGACAAATGACGTTTGCTTCATTGGTTATCTGTCAACTATGACCGATCGGTTAATCGCCTTTAATCGATGTTATTTTTGATTGGTTCTAAAATCCCATATTTATATTGAAAACGCCGCCATCTTGTTCCCACCTATTGCTTATTTCAAATATAAATATATGGGATTTAGGTGAACATCCATCATAAAACATGGAAAACAACGTATTTGATGGACCTAATAATAGTCATCAAATACGTCGATTTCAATTTTTTATGAAGGATGTCCATTTAAATTCTATAAATTCATATTTAAAAGTAACAAGAGGTTGGGAACAAAATGGCGGCGGGACCTCTATTGTCGCCACTGTATGTAAAGGTTTATTTAGCCACTGTAATTTCGACCGTCTTACTATATTTAAGAAATACAGATATATAAATTGTAGATAATAGGATATAAGTATTTAAGTAAGCCTAAGCCAATATTTGGTCAATTTGATTTGACTATTGTAAATCATAGGCCCCATCACCAGAATTTCTGTTTCGGGGTCAGTTATAAATAAATCAAAAAAAAAAAAAGTACCTTTAAAATTAAAAAAAAGTATACAAAGTAGCAAAAAAGTCACGCATAATACCTGTAACTTTTTAATTACCTTGTATACAAAAAGTGACCATAATGAAAATTGCTCAGTAAATTATTTTCCACATTTCTTCCTAGACAAATTGTAACTGTCACTTTTAGTTTGTTTGCTTTCAGAACAACTTTGTTTTTTCAAATAAAACACTCTGTATGTGATTTAAAATTGAGTTTTTCTTAACTTTGACAGGCTGTAAAACCTAAACGGTTAATTTTAGAGGAAAATCGATTTTACATTCTTAAAGTCTGTTTTTTTTTTTAAAGATAAAAGTCAAAATGATATTATGTTGGCAATACAATGTAAAATTGTCAATGCTTTCAAATTTTTTATGAAGAAAAGGCTTGTGTTGCCAACATAGTTACTAAATTTTTGACTTGGGGAATTATCTTTAAATAAAAAACAAACTTTATCTGAGATTTCCAAAAACTATCATTTGACATCAACTTTGACTTTAATCCATAACTGAAAATTCCAAATTCCAATTAAATTTAATCTCTGGTCAAGTCAATTTTCAACTGTCATATTTCCAAAACAATTGAACTTAGGTATAGGGTATATCACATAAAATCTGTTTAGAATTTTACGTAGAATTCAAATCTGCAATCAAATACAGGGTGTTTCATTTGAAAAAACAAAGTTGCTCTGGATAGCAAACAAACCAGAAGTGAAAGAAACAATTTGTTTAGGTAGAAATTTGGGAAATAATTTACTGAACAACTTTCATTGTTGGCCGTTTCCACCAACTATTTTAGGGGAGCCTTAACGATAAGTATTCCCTAATGCCCGATTGCACCATCTTTCTTAACCGAGGCTTAGAGATAACCATTCCTTAAAGTGACATTTTCCCATGCAAAACTGTCAATTTAAGGGATAGTTATCGCTAAGCCTAAGTTAAGAGAGATGGTGCAATCGGGCATAAACTGACATTTCTCCATGGAAAACTGTCAGTTTAGGGAATACTTATCTTTAAGGCTTCCCTAAAATAGTTGGTGGAAACGTCCATAAGTTACTTTTTCGTATACGAGGTAATTGAAAAGTTACAGGTATTATGCGTGACTTTTTTGCTACTCTTTATAATAGAAAGTGTAGATATAATTTTTCTTGACCTTAGAACAAACATTTTAAAATATCTTTTTAGCAGCTATATACTTGCATGGAGAAAAGTAGCTGTGCTGTAACTGTAAAGCTAGAGCGGACCCAACAAAGAAATAAAAGTTGGCTGGGGCATTCGCATTCACCAATCCTATTGTCTTCGTCATTATTGATTTTAAAAAGATAGTAAATAGGCATTAATTTTTTCTGTGAGGACGATAACGCTTTCTCTGTATCTATTTATTGATCCTCCAAGGTATATCATTACATACACATTAATAAATCGAAATCAAATAATAATGCATTATATTTCATACCCAGTAGTATGAATCTAAGGAGAATTGTCGTGAGGAAAGCCAATGTTAAAACCCATTTTTAGGGCACTAATCCTCAAAATACAGTAAAACTTTTAGGAAATTCTTCAAGCTTACTAATTAGACAATTAATTAACACTCACGTTTCTATTTTTTCTAAATTTGTTTGGGAATTATTGGGGGTAGAAATCACAGGAGCCACGGGCACAGTCACCGTCGCCATTTTAACAGCAAAATATTGAATCTTTTTTTTTTCTGGCGTTGGCAACACTGATTGTGCATGCGCCAAAAGCCACTAAAACAGTGTTGCCTATTTGTGAGTAATTACATTACTCACATTTGTAAGAATTTACTTGTCCGAGGTTCTGTGAATAGTCGATAAGCAGTAACAATGAAATTGCAAACCGTGATTTGACAACAGTGATTTGACACTCGTTCGAAAGGGTCGGTTCGAACTGCCCTAGAGCTATTTTTCAACGAAAGAAAACGTCAAATAATAAGGATTTTTACTTTGAATTATCAATTAGATAAATTAGATTACTAGTTTTTAGTTCAAATCTAAATTTTCTACCCAATTTTAACTTGATATCGATTGTTATTTTATCCGGAAAAGTTTTGAGGTACTTGAATCGATATCGATAAAGGCAATTATATTGGCAATATTGGCAACCCTGCAAGGACAAATCACAAGAGCGCCACCTCTAACCTACGGCTGAATTATGAATTAGCAAATTAAATAAAAATCCAAAAATTGAAAAGTGTTGCCGCGTTGCTTTGTGTTCGTCGTTTCCTTTGACTTTTTTTGTATAAAAAGTGAAAGATTTTCAAAAAAAAAAGATAGATAGGCCTCCGCGGTTCGTCTACGGTGCGTTTTCAACTTGCGGATTTGGCGCAAAATGGCAATGAACTCTTCACAAGTCAAAGCACAACATTTACAGCAACAAAACAACATGGCTGGTGGCGTTGGGGCTAGTGGTTGGCCTAGGACCCGAGGAAATTCACAATCTTCTTCGACACCGACCACCCCAATTGATGGACCCAAATTCAACACATCCAGTACTGCAATTAATAGAATAATTAACCTGTAAGTAACTGTATTGATTTAGGGCTGTTGAAACTGTATTAATTTTTTCCAGATATCCTCTTACAAACTACATTTTCGGTACAAAAGAGCCCCTCTTTGAAAAAGACCCATCGGTGCCGGCTCGTTTTCAACGAATAAGAGACGAATTTGAAAAAATCGGTATGAGAAGAAGCGTCGAAGGCATACTTTTGGTGCACGAGCACGGGTTACCTCATGTTTTGCTTTTACAGTTGGGTACCACCTTTTTTAAGCTTCCGGGTGGTGAATTGGGGCCAGGCGAAGACGAGGTAGAAGGCCTTAAAAGATTATTGACTGAGGTAAGCAAGAAAACTACTTATTAATGAAATGTTAATTGTGGTGTAACTGTTACAGAATAAATATTGTCTATAAGGACTATTATATGTAATAAATAGGCTTGATGGAGACCAAAATGTAATATTATAGTAATCTCTTCTAAAAATTGTCTAGCCTATAGATTTATAAGTTGTATTGAGAGGCCTTAAGATTTTAAATTCTAAATTTGTTTTCAAAACAATTATTTAAAAGTCCGTTCTGTCTTCTGTTCAATGAAATATTCACCAGTTTGGTTGTGATGTTGTTTTACAAATTGGCTTTGGTGACTTGAATGAGTATCATCGATTTTAGTTTTTTAATTTTTACAAACTTTTATAAATCAAGATTGTGGATAATTGAATTTGAATTTCTGTGCATTTTTATTTTCCTAATGGGATATTTTTGCAACAACAATTTCCTCATAGGTAAAACACTTATAAATCACAAAATCATATTAATTTTCTCAATAAATTAAGTATCTACATATGAACAGCTTTTGCATTAAGACCTGAAAATAAAGATTTCGCTATTAATATGGTTAACGAAAATCTCTATTTTACTCCCAAAAACCAAAAATTGGTGGTACCCATATTATGTCACCAGGCCTGTGAATTTTCTTCTGTGGTCCAATATTTTTACTGATCGTTTTTATGACATCTAACGAATAATAATTATTATTGTTTGTATATTGTATTTAATTATTAATCAAACGATTTTGTATAGTTTTCTAGGCACACTTTTTGACTCCTTATATCAGGTAAACATGCACTGTGGCCCAAAATATAGGAGTACATTTGTTGATTCAAAATTATTTTTTTGTTTTTATGACAATTTATTTTGTTTTTACAGTAATAACTCAATGTATCCTCAATGAGATTGCACGATTAGATAAGGAATATACATATTTATATATTAGGACTAGACTTCATTTAGGTTACAGTGTCAAGCTGAGTCAATTGTAATTGTAATTATGAACTAGGTAGTTGGACAAGAAATTTTTAAACAAAAGTCTGGCACATCTCTCTTTACAGAGTTTTGTGTAATGACAATAATTTATTAACAATCAAAGACCATCTACAATAACATTTATTTACATTAAGGTAATTCTCAGTATCTATCCTGAATTTATTGCAAAAGAAATTAAAATAATCAGCAGTAGGTGGAATCCTATTGGCTTCCCTGCATATTCTAGATATTAGGTGAATATGAGAGGTCAACCACTATGCTTACAAATGTACCTACAATGATTTCCATATTTGGCAATCACTGGTCAATGAATCTCATGTATGCCTATCCCAAGAATCTCGACTGATTGCCAATGATTTTCAGATATTGTTGTACCAGGTGATTTCTATTCTTTCTGGGGATTCCTATATTATTTCCAATCGGTTACCTGATTTCCTCGATAATTTCCTACAATAATTCGATTTCTAGCTGATTTTTTTTATGAAAACGATGTCTAAACAACCGATTTTGTTGTAGGTATAAATTGTTGTTGATCCCTAGATACCATTACATGTCTACATTGCATAATATGGATCTAAAATAATGTTTTATTTTTATTTCACTAGGATGTTCATCTGCAGCAGAGACATCTTCAGTTAGGGTTTCGCTCGACAAACTTATTTCTGACTCTGATTCAGATGTGCTATCGTCTCTGCTTCTCTCCTTGCCTAGTATTTAATATTCATTCTACTTCACCCTTTTACTTTTCAAGTTGTTATTGCCTTGAATTCCCGACTTTTTATTTTGTGTCTTCCTCAGAAACATTTCCATAGCTCTTAATACTCGATCGACAAACGTCCCTGCTTCTCTGAAAAGAACCAAATTAAAGTTGAGCCCTGAATAATCTCTATATTATAGCGAATCGTAATTGCTAAACCCTGATGTATGAAGAAATTCTGTGTCTTCTTGTGCCAAGTCGGATTTGAGAGATATTTCAAGATTCATGTTTTCATTTTTATACTCTACAACATTGTCATATTTTAGGTCTATTGTCTCAGAAAACACAAACCAGTCAGAGGGAATTTCATTGGTCGAAAAAAGTCAGAAAACTGGTTGTTGGCGATTTGCACCAATCAAAAACGCTCTGACTGGTTTGTGATTTCTGTGAAAACAGACCAAATCTTCATCTCGTTCTTCTTTTTCTTCAAGTTCGCCTAGGCAGTAAAAATACAACTTTTGATCCTGTCAAGTGTCATCAAAAGGCCGCTTTTACTGTCATTCGGAGAATTTTTTTTTGTCGTTTATGTCAAAAATAATGCAATAAAAATGGGTCATTTTTTTATTCTCCTTTATTCCGCGTTTCTTCTATATCAATTTCATTCATCGGCCTCGTGAGCAGTATTTTTCATCCATAATTTCTGTAACAAGGTAGAACCTAGTACATTGTCATTACATACCTACTAAAGGCCTAAGAGCCGTACTAAGCAAACAGCTATTTTCTACAAGTTTCATTTATTAAATCCCCGCTTTAAAGAATTAGTTATTGAACTTAATGGGTATAAAGTTAAATTACACTTTACATTAATTTAAAATTAACATCAGTGTGGGATAAAAATGTATTTGAAGTGCACATTTAAATAACATAGTACAATGTTGTTTGTGCCAAACAGAATTAGATGTAATTGTTTTAGCACAAACGTCACAGAATATTTTGCCTTTAATTCTAAACTCGATCATATTTTAAACGCTTAATTCAATAGTTTGGTATATTTAAACACATGACATAAAATAAATCAATTTTCTCAACGGTTTCTTGTAAAATTCGCCTGGAAAAGCCCGTAAAGTGCACTCATGTAAAGCTTATGGACCACTGGCCTTAGTGTCAAATGAAATAGCTAGGAGACCGTTATTTGGCGCTTGTGCAAACTTTAAAATGAAATTGCGGCGAAAATAAATTTTTGGCGGATATGCCGCTTGCACAGACCGACGCAGAACTTAATTTTCTATCCACCTATACCTTTAAGTCATTTTCGAGATTTCTGGCGCTTATGCCGTTCTGCCTTGAACCCATCGATATGTTATTGAAATCTGAGAACGAATGTCAAATCCGAGCAATTTAATTGACCTATTTTTTAGGTATTTAGTGTGAGTTCCAAATGTAAATTCTTTATTTATCACCACCTCAAAGTCCTTTATGATCTTCTCTCTAAGTCTCCAATGAGTTCCTAATTATCAGAAGTATACAATGCAATGGGTATCTTCAACCAGTAGAAACTAATTGTACAACATTTACCTACATTGAGTTCTAACTCATTAGACTGACACCATACAGCAGAGCTTTGTAGGTCTTTTTGAAGTTTTATATTATCCGTTCACAATCCGATGTCCACAGGTAGGTACAGGTAAAATCACCTTTCAATGCTATTTGATAGGGAAAGGTGATAAATTTACCTGCACCTGTGAACAGGATATACAATCACTTTCACAATGAAAAACTCTAAAAATCTTCAAAGTTTTTTACTTCTACCACCTGTGTTCAAACTTTTTATTCCAGGTAACCTAATTTAATCTAATTTTTATTGCAAACAGCAATAAATTGACACCGGAACATCTTCCTAAAGCCGATTTTAGTCAACAGCCTTTCAGAGACTGTATTTTCCGGATAAACTGTAGCGCAACAGTCCAGGCCGTCCTCGGACAGCTTCTTCGCCATATGGCGGACAGCCAGAGTGCCATAACCTTGCTTTTCGTGGCCTGGCAAAGTTCCCAGGGCCGACATTTGTCCTAAAAATGTATGTAATGTAATTTTTGTACTAAAACCCTTTGTACTAACCCAAACAAGAGGCCACAACCCAGGAGACCAATTTTTTATCAGATTTCTGATAGACTCCAGAACCCTGGTTCAATTTGAACCAATCCAGAAGTTTTTCCTGTGATTCTGGATAACGAAATTGCCAGTTTTCGTTGACGATTTTTAAATCTTGTTCCTGGATTTTTTCTACAAAAACTCCCTGGATATTTGATTCAATTTTGGTTGCCTTTTCCTTATCCAAAACCCACATATTTAAAAAATCTTTGGATAAAATTTCCTGGTTTTGTTCAAGCAGTAATTCCATAATTTTCCAGGCAAATTGCTCATGGACTGCATAGAAAAATGTGTAATTTCTGGCAGGGTCTTGCAAATATTTGAATTTTCTGGTTTTCCTAAGGGCCTTCATTAGATTTTGTCCTAAAGGGTCCAAACTGTGCAGGACAATGTCGTGTCCGTGATTCTAAAATAAATATACATATATATATATTTTTTTTTTAAATAAAATAAAGTTTTTACCGGCATTGAAGCAATAAAAGTCCCATCGCTTTTCCATGAATCGTCGTTTAGGGCAAAAACCCTTACAAAATCCTTCATCCCTTGCCCTTTGGCTTTGAGGCAATTACGTAAAAAACTGTACAAATGGGGCAGAGATTTTTTGCGATTTTCGTACATTTTTGCCAATTTTTCCAGGTCCGAAATGGACATTTCCGTTAAAATATCGTCCATTTTGCTCCAGGACAAGGAACTGCTTGAATATTGCAACAAAAACATTTTAATTGCTTGGGTAATTAATAGTTTCTTATCAAGTTGTTATGGATTGTGCCGGGTAAACCGAGTCAGTTGCATTGAGTTGATAAGGAAATTGATAATTAATTTTTTATCCTTGAATATTTACAACTTACGATTCTTCAATAGTAATGGAAATTTGGGTACTGTAGATTCACTAAACTGTACTTTTTTTTAAGAATGTAAGATCTGTTATTTGTACAGTATAAATTTTTGGACAGTAAACTTCCTCAAATACCTTTAGATGGCATTCTTTTTATTAACTCCACTTCTGTAAATCTATTCCTTATTTAATCTTTTGGTCTTATTGGGAATGTGTTAGGCTATTATTCCTGTAAAAAGAAAATAAATCGCCCTAGAAACAGAAAAGCAAAATAATTTTGAATTGAAAATGTGCCTACTCCTTCCTTCATTTAAAGCCACAGTGTACCAACATGTTAATATTGTTAAATATCTAAATTTTTAGTCACATTTATATATCCTACTGCAACGACTTAATAATTTACTTGTGAAGTTAAAGTTTTCTTTGCTCCAATTTTATATAGTTTATTATTGACATTTTAGCTAGTTTAATTATTTATAATTCTTTAAAACATATAGCTACCAATGTTATTTTGTCTTGTTGGTTGCTATTTTCAGTATTTTCTAATCATCCGATTACATAAGTTTAAGTGCATTATAAAAAAACAAAACTCCATGTTTCAATTCATGGTTAAAAAAAAAAATTCAGAAGATTGTCAAAATTGTCACGGTACCGCACATTTCTATGGCATGTTACAGACCCTCGGCCGTCTAGACGGTGTTAAACAAGAATGGCACGTTGAAGACATCATCGGTAATTGGTGGAGACCGAATTTCGAACCACCTCAGTACCCCTATGTACCGCCCCACATCACTAAACCCAAGGAGCACAAACGACTCTTTTTGGTGCAACTTCAAGAAAAGGGTATTGTATTAAAAAAAAAACAAACATTTCCTGTAGTTTATCTATTCTTATGTATGATTTTTTCGAGAAGATTGTATTTTTTTTTTGGTTTTTTCTTTTTGTCAATCAATTTGTATTTGGATCAAGTTGTTTCATTGGATTATTGTATAATGTTTCCAAATACACTTTGTTGCAAATTTAATCGGTTTAATTAAATAAATGATATTTGTTAGTCACCGTTCAAGTTCTTGTTGTATTTATATGTAAATAGTCACATACAAATATCACTTTATTTTGATTTTATACTAAGCATTCTTGATTAAAATCAATAATTACAAGAGACTGCTTAGTTCTAGGACAATAATTGATAAGTAATTAGAGAGTTATTGGAAATTTCAAATACTGTTGACAATTATTAATGAATCCAGTTGTCTTGCCTGTCCAGTAACTCTTTTTATTATTGTTCAATTTTCCTTTTATTTGGTGTATTCCTTCAGACAATGACAAGATGTCATATGAATAAAATATAGCAAATGCTTTTACTCTTCCTCCATCCCTTTTTGCAGCAACAAAGCTGAATATATTTATCTCTAAAGTATTTGCTTCTGTTTTATTCATATGAGCCAATATTCAAAATTTGTGTGTTCTTTTCTGAAGGTGCTTCAATAACAATTTGTAGTGATGTTCTGCTAATAGAAGCAATATTTTGTGTTATTGTTTCAGTTGCTTCTAATAGCAACTTATTTTATTTTCATATTAGATTTATCATGTTTTTAAATGAAATTTGCCTGGTAGATCTGATACTTAAATCCTTGATAATTAAATTTTGCGTATATTCTAAACTGTATGTTTATGTTTTCTAAATATTTTTAATGTTTTTAAGTTTAGGTATCTCAAAAATTCGTTTAACACTACAATTATTCCCCATTATATTCAAGGGCATTAGCTTTTCAAATTCTAGAATATTGCTTGAAGTTTAATATTTAATTTTTGGGATTTTTTCCACACCTGATTCCTTCTGTAATAACGCTAATACTAATAGTTATTCTTCTGATGTGTTCAAATTAAAATATTTTAAACCATATGCGTTGTTTGCATTGGATTAATAATAACATACCTATATTTGACTAATTAGGTGATTGACTAAGCTTAAATTAAAAAAGTAATTAAGAAAAGATAATTATGTATCAGGAACTTATCCACATACTTACCAAACTTCAGTTTTTTCGTCTTTTTAGAAAGTTCTACTGTATCGCAATTTTTTTTCTTCCCCATATTAGTTAAAAAATTATATAAAAACCTTAATCCAAAATAAATATATTTGGTGTATATTGATTTCATAAAATCTGTATTAAGTTTTATATTTTCAGTTTTCTTTATATTTGAAAAACTTGATTTTAGTTATAAACATAATGATGTACCATTGATTAATTTAAAAGCGCAAATTGAAAATCGTAATAATACACACTTTATATGTATTATATTTTTACATATTATTATTAAAAATTTTCAACTATACTTTCTTATGCAGTTTGGCCAATGTGTATTGTATTCAATGTATGCAAATAAATAATTCAAGTCTCTATTGTTCATTTTTCTTGAAAAAAAATAAGTTGCAGGCAAAAATTATCATTTTTCCAACATTCACTTATAAATTTACGCATAAAACTCAAATAATTTTCCGTTTTTAGCTCTTTTTGCTGTACCGAAAAACTACAAGTTGGTAGCGGCGCCTCTGTTCGAGCTCTATGACAATTCGCAAGGATATGGACCAATAATTTCATCCTTGCCTCAAGCTTTGTGCAGGTGAATTAATATTTGAAAATGCATAAAGTGCATTTGACTAACACATTTTTCTTTTGTAGATTCCAGTTTAACTATATGTGATCTCGCGTTCCAGAAGCGACACGATTAAATTAGAATGTAAGTTTGAACATTTCCAACTTTAGGCAACTAATTCTTAATTTTTATTCTAGTTCCCCTCAATGCCAGATTTACCCTTATGGATTTTCTCGATAACCGGCATAATATTTATGACTACCTTTCATTGACAAAATGAACCCTATTTTCCTACTTCCGACCTTGGAGAAAAATGTTTTTTTAGACACTGTATCTTAATATATTGCTACCAATAAAATATTTTTAATTGAAATTGTATAAAAATGCAAGAAGTTCTTGTTTGGAATTTATTTAGTTTTAGGAATAATTCGTGGTGACTTTTTTTGTATATTAGTTATGTAATAGGCTTTAAGTATAAAACAAAACAAAATAGTTTGTCAACAATATAATAGACTTGTGAGGGGTTTTAAATTGCATTCTTTATTTGTTAATAAAAATTTTGTTTAATATGGTTTTTTTATTGTAATTTTCATTAGTCCAGACAGGAGGATACTCCGAAGGTTTTTTTCAGAAATCCATAATGCTGGGCTCCTTTTTGGATATAGACAGCGCTCTTGACAACAGTTTATTCGACTCATTAACCAGATCTCTCGAGCATGAGGAAGTTAAAGCTCCAATAAGCCTTCTCAGGCTTTAGTGCTGCATGATGATGATGAAAAGTACTTTATTGTCCAAGAAATATTACATGTAATAGGTCTTATTGACAAAGCATACTTAAAAACTAAATTAAAGTAAAATAAAAATTTAAAAAAAAAACAACAATGGCGTATCTGGTTACAAACAAACAGTCAATAAACACTAATCAAATAAAGGGAAAAAAAAAAAAAACTGACAATAAGACAAGCATTTTAAGTACGGTCAATAAAAAGAACAATAAAAAATAATAAAAATAATAATAATCAACAATGTAAAAAATGGTCAGTACAAAATACAACACAATATAAAAACAACAATATATAGCCAGTTGACTATTGAGATTAAATAACACACTAAATTAGGATTGCTCTAAGAACTCGTCAATGGTATAAAATGCCTTTTTCAATAAGTATGCCTTTAGTAGGTTCCGGAAAGCCTTTGATGTTGAAGCATTCCTAATCCGCAAACCAACATTATTGTATATTTTGAGGCCATTGTAGATGAGAGATCTCTTAACCAGGTTCAAGTGAGGTATTGGTAAAGGGATATTATTGTTTTGACGGGTTTGATGTACTTGCTGATGCCTTGGAAGGCTTTGCTTATTTTTATAAATTAAGCATGCTGTTTCCAGGATGAAAAGGGAGGGTAGAGTAAGAATGCCATTTTGGATGAAGAGATGTCTACAGTGTGTTCTTGGATGGGCATTGCATAAATTCCGAACTGCTCGCTTTTGGAGAATAAAGACAGACTGAAAAAGATTTTGTGCACAGGCTCCCCAAAAGGGTAATGCATATCTAATATGTGACTCGACAAGAGCAAAATAAACATTGCGTGCTACTTCTTTACCCAGTTCTTGGAAGGTAGCTCTCACCGAAAAACAGCCAGAGGCCAACCTTTTATTTAGTTTCAGAATGTGAGGATAAAATTTAAGATTTTCATCGATTATGAGCCCCAAAAATATGGAGTTATCCACAATTGAGATGGAGTTGTCGCCCATGTCAGGGTCCCGAAGAGCACAGTTGAAACCAATCAGATGAGTTTTCGACATGTTTAAGCACAGACGATTTGCATCACACCACCGTCTGATCTGCTTAAGATCGGATTCAATGTCCTGTTGCAGTTGATTTAAGTCCCTGTTGCGCCAGAGAACGGTTGTGTCATCAGCAAACAACGTGAACAGCCCAGAGATTTCAAGTTGGGTTAAATCATTTATATAGATTAAGAAGAGAACGGGTCCTAGTACAGATCCTTGGGAAACGCCGCATGAGCTACGTTGTCTGCTAGATGACACCCCATCCACGTGAACGAATTGCTCACGGCAACGCAAGTAGCTCCCAAACCACTCCAAGGCCCCTCCACGGACACCATAGGCGTAAAGCTTCCGCAGCCATACCTCATGACTTACGCAATCAAATGCCTTAGATAAATCACAAAATACCGCCGCCGAAGCTTCACGCTCGTTGATGGACTGGAAAACTCTCGAGAGAAACTGAAACATAGCGTCAGAAGTATTTTTTTTGCCTGAAATCCGAATTGATCCTTAGTTATAATATTGTTTTCGTCCAAGAATGACATGAGACGAGATTTTACCAGACTCTCAATAAGTTTTGACAGCGTTGACAATAAAGAAATTGGTCGATAGTTAGAGGGAGAGGCGTGATCGCCACCTTTGTATAGAGGGAGGATTTTAGCAATCTTAAAAGATGATGAAAAGGTACTTGTCACAAAAGAAAAATTGATTACATCTGATAAAGTAGCGATGGCTGTGTTGGGAAGGCTCTCCAGAATTTTCAATGAAATACCATCATCAGTTGCAGCTTTTTTATTTTTCATGGAACGAATTGTTTTTAGGATTTCTTGAGGGGTAGTTGGGTAGAACGCATGAAAATGTTCGGGGCTGTTGATGTTTGACAGATAAATGAGTGGATTGAATGGTAAGTCTCTTGTCAAATTATCAGCAACTGAGCAATAATATTTATTCAAGAGGTTTGTATCGATGTTTATTTGAGGTGATTTATTTGCTCATGGGGACAATAAGTCAGACAGAGCCTATTTTCAGGAATTGACTTGGCTCTGGAGTCTTCCATACCACTTGTTGATAAAGCTAAATTTCTGAAGCCTCTTAATTATTTTTCCTATGACTTTAAAAATGCCAATTACGATGTAATTAATGAATATTTTCTTTCCTTTGATTGGCGATCCATTATGACTGAAGATCTAAACGAAACTGTTAATAACTTTTACTCGGTGCTGTTCGACTGTTTTAATATGTTTGTTCCCACAAAGAGACATTGTTTCAGCGATAAATTCCCTATCTGGTTTTCTTATACAAAATAAAAAAACCTGATTTTTCAAAAGAAAATTGCTCACAAACAATACAATTAGCAGTCGAATAGTGAAGTGGATTATTTTGTTGTATTTAACACACTTCGGAGGGATTGTGAAAACTTCATCAAGGAGTGCTACAAATTATACATAGGTGATACTGAAAGGGCCATAGGCCCTAATGTGAAAGTTTTCTGGAACTTTGTTCATTCCCAATCCAATTAGGGTACTATTCCTAAGGAAATGTTTCTGGCGAAAGAAGTATAATGTCCAACGGTGTTGACATAGCTAAATCTTTTTGATGTTTAATTTTTCCTTTGTCTATGAACCCCAGAGAAATTCTAATGCTAGAACTTTTGCTGATCGATTTGAGAATGTTTCAAGCATTGTTATAGACCCAATCGATATTAAGGGGGCTTTAAAGCAAGTGGGCATCAACAGATCTGCAGGACATGATGGTATTCCTAACAAAGTACTAAAATCTTGTTCTAACACTTTGTATCTCCCTCTATTTATTATTTTTAACAAATTCCTAAATTCTAGAATTTTTCCAGAAATGTGTAAAGCTCCCTTATGTTTGTCCTATTTACAAGTCAGGCAGCAAGAATGATGTAACAAACTACAGACCTATCAGCATCCTGTCTGCAATTCCTGAATTATTTGATCAATGTATTGGAAATATTCATATATTATATCACAAGACCTTCAAATTTAATCGATTAAACTATGCAACATATTTTGAGCATGATTTTGCTTGGAAAATAGTTGAATGCACAATAACTTAATAAAAGCTCGAGACCGCGAAGCGGTCGAGGGCTTTTATTTAAAAGTTATTGTGCATGAAACTATTTGCCAAAAAGCAAAGTTGTGCGAAAAATATTTGGATAGTTTAATCCATTTAAATTTCTAGGTCGAGTGATATACGGCTAGATTATTTCCTGAATAATTATTAGGATTGAAGCCACAAACAAAAAGTTCTATTTTTTATTATAAAATGTCAGAATATTTCTATCAAAATTCTGTGAAAAAAGGTAAACAAAAATTTAATCGCTGATAAACAGGTCTTGTGAAATAATCACTTATTTAAACAAAATTTATTCAAAAAATGACGTTGTCTGATTGGTCTATTTTATAATGAATGAAATATTCTTTCAAAAATATTTTATCAGATTGTGATCAGTCAACAGCATGGGTTTACAGCTGGTAGATCTGTTGATACGAACCTGTTTTTCTTTACAAATTTTATAAATTCATCATTCAATAACAATGTAGAAACTCGTGCAATATATACTGACTTCAGTAAAGCCTTTGATAAGGTAAACCATAACATCCTTCTTTCAAAGCTCTCAAATTATGGCGTTTCTGAGCCCTTACTTTCATGGAAGAAATCTTACTTTACTTACAGAATGCAACAAGTCAAGATTGATGGCTATCTTTCTAATCTTTTCCATGCATCCTCAGACAGAACATGTGAGGTAAAAACGTCAAAACAGGTGAATGACATATTTTGGCATGTTTGTTTTATTTTTATAATATTAAAAAATTGAATGACTAATCATAATTAATAGTGTGCTTGCACATAAAATAGTATACAATCCTCGGAGGAAAGTTTTCATTTCTGTCTCGAGATTAATAGTCAATCTCGACGCTTCGCGACTATATAAATCTCTCGACAGTAATGAAACACTTCCCTACTCGGTATGTAATATACTATTAAACTACAAAAACGGGCAATCCGATTTATTGCTCGCGTTTCACCACGGGAACACTGTAGGCCACTATTTGTTAAGTATAGGATCCTCACTCTTCAATGTCTTTTTATTCTCGAGTCAGTAAGCCTTATTCATAAGAATATCTCTTGTTTTCCGGCACGCCGAACTACCCATCTGACGAGACAAAGTCATCATCTGTCGCTTCCTATCCCACATTCCTCTCTTGTACAGAACTCTATCAGTTACAAGAGTGTAAAACTTTATAATCACCTTCCAGCAACTTTGAAAGATATATCAGATATCACTCTATTTCGAAAAATTATCTTACTTACCCAATCATTCTATACTGTTAATGAATTTCTGGACTTGGTATTTTGAACCTAATAAATTTAACCAGCTTTTGCAGCATAGAATTATCGTGGGCGTGGCACTCTGTGCTGGGTGTTTATTTTATTTTCCTATCAGAGCACTATTGTACTGTTTGTTCATGTTTTATCTTATTTCTCAATGTTTCTATCAAGATCTGACCCCCTAGTTATTTAGTTGTTATTGATTTTAATATTTTACAGTTTGTTCTTGTAAATATTGTTTCTTCTCTTTGTGGTTTATCATTTGTTCAAAGTTTTTTTTTTAACTTATTTATTAACTGTTAAAATTTAAAAATATGTACCTATATGTATTTACTGTGACAAGTTAGATGGTTTAGATTTTAGATCTTAGATTTAAGGATCAGTTTTGTCCATAATGATTATAGTATCTTTTGACAATAAAGCATGCTACTACTACTACTACTATCATCTTGCCCTGGACTGTCTGTGAAACTAAAAGAAAAGGGATTTTACATTCCTATCTTAGTTTTACATAAACTATCATTTGGCACCAATCTTGAATTTAATCCATGATTAAAAATTCCGCCTAAATTATTAATCTTCGGTTAAATTCAAAATTGGTGTCAAATGATAGCTTATGAAAATCCAAGATGGGAATGTAAAATCCGTTTTCCTCTAAAATTAACCCTTCAGGTTTCACAGTCTGTTAAAGATGCAAAAAAGTCAATATTTCCGAAACAGTTGAAGATATGTATATGACATTATACATGAAATATGTCTAGAATTTTCCGCAGAATCCAGAAATGTCATAATACACAGGGACAGTCATTTAAAATAACATAACTTTGTGTCACTACTAGTTATTGGACCACCCTGTATACTGGAAAATAATTTAGGAATGTAGTACTCATGTTTATCTACAAGTTTTGTATTCAGTTTTTTATCCGATCTCCGTTAGTATAGGAGATATGGACCACCGCGCGCTCAGTAACTCACCCTGTATATAAGAAGGATTATCGAATGTAATACCACAAGAGGTTTCAGGATTACCAGATAATACTTTTACCTGTCACGAAACGCGTTACGCAGCAACACCACGACTCCGAACGAGGAGTGGTATTGCTGGTAACGCGTTGAGTGTCAGGTAAAAGTATTAGGTAATCCTGAAAAATCGAGTGGCATTCAAAAGGTTATACAACGAACTAAACTTTAATTCTTTATTATTTAATAATTTCATGAATCAAAAATTTAAATTTTTTGTCAAAAAATGTCAAAACACCAGTTACCGTGCAAAAGGATTATCACTTTTTAAGCCTCTTGTGTCATATGGGAAGGATTATCACTTATTAATCCTCTCGTGTCATATGGGAATAATGTACAGTGAGTTGTATAACCTTTATAAGCACTAATCTGTGATAAGCACCTATACCTGTATGTACAGGTGAACTACCTTAAATCGCTATGGAAAAACATGTGTTACGGCGTATATTATCCATTCACAATCCGAAGTTCACAGGTACAGGTAAAATTTATCACTTTTCAATACTATTTGATGGGGAAAGGTGATAAATTTATCGGATTGTGAATAGGATATAAGTGTTATACCACAGCATATACAAAAACAATATATACTGTGGTTATTCCGCATACGCTGCTCAAGCTGCAAGTCATTGAAGTGACACTTTATACCTTGTCAAAAGGATCACAAAAATTACTGTTATAAGACGTTTGCAAATAAAGTTGATTATTTAAGCTCTGACTATTTTATCAACAACATAAAACTTGAGAGACGGGCGGAATACAGTGATTTTGGAGTATTGTTTCAGTCCAATTTTAAATTTAACGACCATTATGTTATTGTAAAAAAAGCATATAAAGTTCTAGGTTTTATCATAAGAAATTATATTTTATTAATTTGAACACCATTTTCAGGTTGTATAACGCAAAAGTGAGACATTTAGAATATGCTAGCGTAATATCGGCACCTCAAGCTGAACTAACATCAACTTCACTGAGAAAGTACAAAAATAGTTATTTATGCACCTAGGTCAAAAAGTACAGCTTTAACGCCCGCAGCGTGTGTTACAGCCTGAGGCGTTAGCCGAGGGCTGTTTACACGCTGAGGGCGTTAAAGCTCTTTTTAAGATACCTGTATGTCTGTAAACATAATGCCTATGTAAACAAAAGGAAAACAAAATCAAATCCTACCTCGTTATGGCGCAGGCGTGAGTCGTTCACGGATTTGTCATCCCAAGCGCATCCTTTTCAACCAGTGAAATATTTAACCTGGTTAAGTTTTACCCAGGGTAAACCACTGTGAAAGCGCCCCTGTAAAACGATCTTGACATTGATAAGTGTTGTTAGATTCAGTAGACTCACCTGTAAGGTTCCCTTCCAGTATTGCTTAGGTGATGTTCGCTTGTTTGAAGTTTCTGTCAACAAAGATCTGGGGGTCTATCTAGATACTAGGTTAATGTTCACCAAGCATTTTGAAGTGGTAATTCGCCGAGCTAAAAGAATGTTGGGTTCTATTAAGAAAGCTACTAGGGACTTTACAAGTATATGTCCCATCAAAATTGTTCAATCATCTCTGGTCAGATCCGATCTTGAATTTTCTTGCACAGTTTGGTCACTTTATTATCAAATCCACATCAATATTCTTGTGAGTGATTAACACAAATTTATCAAGTTGGGCCCATTATTATTTTTTTTCCCGGGACCCGACCCGGCTCTCGGCGGCCCTGTCTCCGAGTGGTGTGATTCTCAGCGTTGACCAGACTATGACTTACTCAGACTTAACTGCTCTTGTTTGCAGAAGAGAATACTTTGATGTCTATTTTGCTTTTAACATCTTTAACTACTACATAAAAAGCCATGAACGTCTTGGATGCTTTTATCTATAGTTATCGGACACGAAGTAATTCTTTACTGACCATTCCTTACTGTCATATTTGGTACTTACTATTCAGTCCTGTTAAAGGGGGTGTGCGCGAAAAATTAAAGTTTTAGTGTAAAAAAATCTAAGAATAACTGTTCAAACCTCGTTATCCATCGCTGAGATATACCGCTTTAAAGTGTGTGTGACGTCACGAGAGCTTCGTCCAGCCGCGCTCCGCATTGTTAATTTGATTGTTCCCGGCGCGCGTGAGTGGTTTTTGTTTAGATTGTTGCAGATGACACAGGAAAAACATATGTAAATTCAATTTACTTAACTTTCTCGTGTGTCGTTTGAGCTTTCGTGACGTCATAGGGTGAGATTCGGTACCTTCATAGAGCCATATATTCGGTATTATTTGTCAGAGAGGGGTGCGGCTTTCACTGTTATTCTTAGATTTTTTTTCTATTTTTTTTTGAGATAAAGTTGTTTTTTTGGCGCACACCCCCTTTAATAGAATATCTGCCAATGTGAATAAGTTCTATGAAGGTCTTGACTTTTTTAGTTTATCTCGAGATAAATTCAAGTCGCGGGACAAGAGAATTGTTTTAAGTTAGATTATTTTAGATTCAAACTTTGTACCACTTAAAATCTTTGCATTTTTTCATATGTAAATAAATAAATAAATAATCGAAATCGATTTTCACGTGCCTGGAATCGATGAAAGATGCATGAAACTCAAATAAAACAAAGATAATTTTAAATGCACTGCTTAACATTATTATATTTTAAATATGTATTTTATATATTACACTGAACAATCATTAATTTTCTTCTATACATATACAATGTTCATTATACAAATAATATTATTTTCTACAGTAAAGTTTGTTGCAGATTTTTTATGGCGAGCCTACAAAAATCAGTATTTTTTTTTTCCAATGGACTCTGTTTTTTTTTATATACAATAATTTTATACTAGTAAATATCACAATAGTTCATTTTTGAAATATGAATTGCACCTTTTTGGTCAGCTAATTGACAATTTTGATTTGACTTGTGCCGTGTGTGCTGCCCCAAAAAAAAATCTGCTGGATATTAAAATAAAAATAAAAAAAGAAATTACCAAAATATTTTGTTATATAAAATCACCCTGTTAGTTTTTTTTGTTTAAATATGTATATCCAAATAGATTGTTACTATTAACAATTATAAAGAAAAGTAACCAAACCTTAGTTAAATAAGTGCTCTTGTACAGAACTAGATTTTGTTGCAAAAGAAAAGTAAAACTTTAATAAAAAATATATAATACAAAAATCCTTCTATGTATTCTGTATCATGGACATGGATGTTTATAAAAAAATTAGCGTTTTATTTCTGAAATCACCAAACCCTTACTGTAAAAAAAAATCTAAAAAAAGAAGGTATTATTTAAATCCCAGTCTCAGTCTCACAGAGACCTTTATGACCTAAAATTTACCAACTTACGAGACATCGCGATATTTCGTCATAAGTTTGGACCATTTTTGTGTTTTATTAAAAAAAAAAAAACTTCAGCCTTCGTCAGCTCTATTGGAGCCTTATAGATTTTTTTCGTTGGAAATTTAATTTTCGGCCTCAAAATAAACCAAACTGCGATCGTTAATTAAACCATAATAATAACTACAACAAATTTAAATAATAATAAATCTTGATTATAAAATGCGTCTTTGAAACCAAAACTAAACCTAAGAGAAAAAAAAAATAGAAAGTATTACAATTAATTATATAACAAAAAAAAAAGTAAATAAGTGCTGGATACAATATTTTTGTTTGTTTAAAAAAGGATTACAAATAGATCAATGGTTAAAAAAGGTCCTTATGCTCAATAATTAATACCCTGCTTTGTTTCGCCTCCATTAGTAAAGCTATATAAATTGGGATCTCTACACATAAATATTTACAATCTTTTTAATATACATGTACAATTATTGAAAAAAAGCAGAGTATTTTTCTCAATAATAATAATTAATATGAAAAAATATTTTGTTTTGCATCCCTGCTAACGAAAACCATCCTCTTTGTTATTTTTAACTGACAGATAAAATAACCTAAAGTTTAACTATCACATATAAAAAAAGGATTAATTAGTAAAAAACGAAAGAGGATCATTTCGTTCCAAGGTTGATAATTCTAATTTTGCTTTTGACACATTTAACATCAATTATGTTTTAAAAAAATTGATTAATTTTTGTTTCAAAATTTCGATAATATTGTTGTAAATGCCAGGGGGAAATGTTGAAACAAAAACGTAAAGCACAGTGAGAAAAGTGTAGGCAATCAAAAAACCATTTCAATTTCTTAAATACTAGATCAAGTTTAAGTCTTTTCATTCGGGGCCCAATTTTTTTTTATAAAACCTATATATACACTTGGAGACATCTATAACTAGCTAAATTTAATTTTGAAAAAATACCAGTCTATTATTTTAGTCCTGAGCCAATTGTTGTTGTAAGGGCTAAAATTGACCATCACAGACTTTCATGGGTGTTTATTTCAGATTCAAAATGCAAAATTGCATTTATATTTATATCAAACTAGATTATAGCTAGTATTAAAAATACCTCAAAATTTTTTAGATTAGTATGTATATCCATACAAAAAATTCTGCGTCGAGTTAAAACCCTCCACAAAATTACCTTATTCCCTAAATAGTTGAGAACGCTTTTTTTTGTACTACGTGGTTCTTGGACAACAAATGACAGTCCGGATTAAAGCTCTAGAGGGCGCGGCTGTTTTCTCTTTTTGTCATGTACCACTCAAAATTAAATCATCCAATTAATATCACAGATAAATACGAAAAACTAATAGGCAAATATATCCTTTTTATACAAAAAAAAAAACAAACAGATAAAGACATACACAACAAAAACAGCACTCTCTAGAATTAACAAGGGGGGGATTTTTTGGTTGCCTACAATTATTATTACAGGTTTTTTTTTTTGGTAAAAAACATGAAACTGAATAACTGTTTATATTTTTTTGAGAGATCAACAATAAGAAAAATTAACCCATGATTTTTACCAAAAAAAAAAACATACCTAAACAAACAAAGCAACAAAACATCGAGAACAATACCCTCTTTGTTTTTTTAAAATAAAAATCACATTTATAGTTTTTCAGCCTCGACAGTTACCAGGGAGCCTTTAAGAATAATCCAGGGCCCCCTTACACATATTTTTTTTTTTTTACATTTACAAGAGAAACTACATAATATATGTAAAGGCCAAACAATTCAATAATAATCACATTTATAATAAGTTTTTTTCTACACAGCATAATCTACAACAAGTGAAAGTGAAGGTTTGACCCTCTCAACAGAAAAATAATAGTAGAATAATGGCGTTGCAAGAAAAGGCTTTTGCGCAGAGGCAAATCATAGCAAAAAGACCTTTTCCACCAACCAATCTACAGAGTAATCCTTAATATAAAACCTTGTACCATGTGGTGTGCGAACGGCATGCCTAAAATATTCAATTGGAAGGAGAAGTGGCTACAACCTACAATATCTAGCTAAATTTTTAACCACTCCTCCCAACAATGTGAGGGGATGTGAGCCCTCTAGGGGGCTTACGGCTGCTCCTATACCCTAAGCACGTTTTTGTGATAGTTTCTGTTGTAGTTCATGTTTCTGTAGAAAGGTGGCGCCATCGGGAACGGCGGTCCGTCGCAACGCGGGTACATGGGCCTGTGGTGCGGGTGATTGAAGGTGTTGAAGTTCATCTGGAATTTAGAAGTTTTGTTTGAGGAAATTTTCATTTTGCAATTATGAGAGTTGTTTATCACTTTACAATTTTCTTGTATTAAGAAGATAGTGTCCGAGTGCATTGAGCGTATACACATCTTTTTGGACAAGATGTTTTGCACTTTTTCAGTGTTACCAACCTCACAAAATAAACTTTTTCATTATATTTCTGAAGAGTGCAGGGTCCAAGAGAAAAGTGTGAAGTAAATTATTTCTTCGAACCTCTCCATTCCTTAACTTCCCAGGATTCACTATGTTCATGGAGAGATTCATTTCTGATCGAAAAGTAAGTATTCAGCAGTGATATTGGAAAAAGACTCAAGTGAACAGTTTCTGGTATTAAGATGAAAGTATCCGAGATTTTCATTGAGCGCATATACATCTTTTTGGACAAAATGTTTTGCACTTTTTTAGTGTAACCAACCTCACAAAATAACCTTTTTCATTATATTTCTAAAGAATCCACGGTTCAGGAGAAAAGTGTGAAGTAAATTATTTCTTAGAACTCTCCATTCCTTAACTTCCCAAAATTCACGGGGTTTATGGAGACATTCATTTCTGATGGAAGAGTAAGTATTCAGCAGTGATATTGGAAAAAGACTCAAGTGAAAAGTTTGTTGTATTAACAGGAAAGTGTCCGAAATTTTCATTGAGCGCATATACATCTTTTTGAACAAAATGTTTTGCACTTTTTTAATGTAACCAACCTCACAAAATAACCTTTTTCATTATATTTCTGAAGAATCCACGGTTCAGAAGAAAAGTGTGAAGTAAATTATTTCTTAGAACTCTCCATTCCTTAACTTCCCAAGATTCACGGGGTCATGGAGACATTCATTTCTGATGGAAAAGTAAGTATTCAGCAGTGACATTGGAAAAAGACTCAAATGAAAAATTTGTTGTATTAAGAGGAAAGTGTCTGAGATTTTTATTGAGCGCATATACATCTTTTTGGACAAGATGTTTTGCACTTTTTCAGTGTTACCAACCTCACAAAATTAATTATATTTCTGAAGAAACCAAGGTTCAGGAGAAAAGTGCCAAGTAAATTATTTCTTAGAACTCTCCGTTCCTTAACTTCCCATGATTCACGGGGTTTATGGAGACATTCATTTCTGATGGAAAAGTAAGTATTCAGCAGTGATATTGGAAAAAAAACTGAAGTGAAAAGTTTGCTGCATTAAGAGGAAAGCGTCTGAGATTTTTATTGAGCGCATATACATCTTTTTGGACATGATGTTTTGCACTTTTTCTGTGTTACCAACCTCACAAAATAACCTTTTTCGTTATATTTCTGAAGAGTCCAGAGTCCAAGAGATAAGTGTGAGTAAATTATTTCTTAGAACTCTCCATTCCTAAACTTCCCAAGATTCACGGGGTTTACGGAGACATTCATTTCTGATGGAAAAGTAAGTATTCAGCAGTGATATTGGAAAAAGACTCAAGTGAAAAGTTTGTTGTATTAAGAGGAAAGTGTCTGAGATTTTTATTGAGCGCATATACATCTTTTCGGACAAGATGTTTTGCACTTTTTCAGTGTTACCAACCTCACAAAATAACCTTTTTCATTATATTTCCGAAGAGGCCAGGGTCCAAGAGAAAAGTGTAAGTAAATAATTTCTTAGAACTCTCCATTTCAAACTTCCCAAGATTCACGGGGTTTATGGAGACATTCATTTCTGATGGAAAAGTAAGTATTCAGCAGTGATATTGGAAAAAGACTCAAGTGAAAAGTTTGTTGTATTAAGAGGAAAGTGTCTGAGATTTTTATTGAGCGCATATACATCTTTTTGGACAAGATGTTTTGCTCTTTTTCAGTTTTACCAACCTCACAAAATAACCTTTTTCATTATATTTCTGAATAATCCAGGGTTCAGGAGAAAAGTGTGAAGTAACTTATTTCTTAGAACTCTCCGTTCCTTAACTTCCCAAGATTCACGGGGTTTATGGAGACATTCATTTCTGATGGAAAAGTAAGTATTCAGCAGTGATATTGGAAAAAAACTCAAGTGAAAAGTTTGTTGCATTAAGAAGAAAGCGTCTGAGATTTTTATTGAGCGCCTATACATCTTTTTGGATATGATGTTTTTCACTTTTTCAGTGTTAGCAACCTCACAAAATAACCTTTTTCATTATATTTCTGAAGAGTTCAGGGTTCAGGAGAAAAGTGTGAAGTAGATGATTTCTCAGAACTCTCTGTTCCTTAACTCTCCAAGATTTACTAAGGGGTTTATGGAGACATTAATTTCTGATTGAAAAATAAGAATTCAGCAGTGATATTGGAAAAACATTCAAGTGGAAAGTTGGCTCATTCCAATGTAAATAATACCTCAATAATACAAAGATCAACTCCTAATACAGAGTAAAGAGTAGGCGTGAAGTTTTTGAACTGAATACTTTTTTGGCTGCATGAGAGGAATTTTTGTGTGATATAAGTGTGATAAGAAAGAGCAGGAAAGAATGAAATTCTAAATTAGACAGAAAGAAACACAACCTAGTTTCATTTAATTATGAATTTGTCAAATCTCAAGTCAATTTTATGTCCTATGAGGGCAAAATCGGGAATGGGGGCGTCAGATGACCCCCTTTTGGACATTAATGTAAATAGCAACGAGAAAATCACATCAGACAATAATAAATCAGAACATAAATTGAAGAAGAAATATAAATATGACAATAATGCATTGGGCACATTTCAGGTAGTAGTTCAGGGTCCCCAGAGCTGGGACTCTGTAACGAATAAGGATATTTTCTGTATCTCTATTGACGTCCCCTCTCTATCGATTTCGACAGGAGAGGAAAAGACAGCAAGTGCTATAGCGATAGGGATAATGACCTCTATCCGTTACAGACAGGGTAACAATATAGGGCATCATCAAATAAGAATTTTATCTCCGCCAGCAAAACATATAAACATGGATTATATAAACAATTGTGGGGAAAAACCAAGCAACAAGGACACCAACCACATCAATAAGTTTCCCACAAAAATTACCAGACACACAGGAATACCATAAAGACTCATCCTGGATGCCGGAAACCATCAGTGGATGACGAGATCAGACAGATTAATAGCAAAGAGCAAAAATATGTCATTCACAAATTTGAACGTAAATAACTACATAAAAGATTTAACTGAAGATATCCATTGGAGAAATCCAATGGAGCAGGATGAATGGTGAAAACCAGAAAAACACAACAAATCCAAAACCACATGAACAACACAACAGATAGAGTAATGAAAATTCTACAATGGAATATAAGACATGAAAATTTCCAATAAGAAGAGGAAGAAGAAAATAACTCTGGCTGAACTGGAAAATGTTTTGCAAGGGGAAAAAGATTCGACAACATAACATACTCCATGATCAAATAATTACCAACATTAAGAAAACAATATCTACTTAAGATATTCAATAATATCCTCAAAGAGAATAAGGCACCAATACAATGGAAGAAAATCTAGATATTCCTATTGTTGAAGGACAACAACAATGTAGTTGCAAAAAACTTCAGACCCTTTTCATTACCCTCCTGCCCTTGAAAAAAAACTAGGAAAAATTACAAAAGATATATCTAGTTTCCTTTAGTTTTTGTGTATAGAAAGCGGTATTTTTCCTTGAGCCTGAATCAGTGGATAATTTAATTGATCGAAAGCCAGGTATTGCGCCAGTGCCTTCAAAAACATGTTTGTATAAGTCATAAATTTGCTTTCTATCTCTTGGTAATATGTCAACAATATTTACTCTTCTAAGAACTCTAAACTTTAAACAATATTCAAGTCCAAACAAAGGTTGAGTCGAGGGTTGAGTATTATAATCTACTACAATAAACTCAGTATTGTAACTCAAATTTTTGTAACATTTTAAAATGACATCACCTTCTGGTTTCAGCTTGAAATTTCCATAGGATAATAATGTTATTACATGATGGATCCCCAAGAAGACTGTGGAAACAGTGACCATTATCCAATAGTAATTTCCCTGAGACATACCGAGATTAAGTCAATACAAAAATAGTCATTTTAATTCGCAGTGTTACCAAGCGTGTCACCTTGAGAGAAATATTGAATCAAAATTTTCAGAAATTGTAGCTTCCATCAGACTTCAAAAAATGATTATTGGAAAATATTTCCAGGTTTATATTTATTGAGAAAATTGAGTTTAAAATTTTTAACAAAATTTCCACTAAAATTCAACTTTGAGGCTCAATTGCTTGAGAAGTATTTGAGCTTTCAGAACCAATTCAGAACAGTTTTATAGAGAATTAAATGCTTTTTCCAACGATATATAATTTCATTCTATTTGTATGAAAAAGCCCATTGTTGGTTGCCAAACGTTTTTCGTATTAAGACACAATTTCCTTACAAACCTCCAAAAAAAAAATTTCTACCCAAAATGTATGGTTTGAGATACAACTGATATAAATCAATACGGCTTTGGTTGGTAACACTCAAAACATCAATATTGCCAACTATAAAGAGGCTACAATGAAATAAATAATCAAACATCTACGTTTTTGTTATAATTTGAATTAATTACCTAACAATGGATGTCTCGTCCTTAACTCTATTTCTTAAAATAATGGCCACATGTCTTGTGTCAAAAAAGTGTCGCACACTATAAAAAAAAGATAATATCCAGTGTCAAAATGCGACATTTAAAAGGACTAAAATAAACCATGCAAAGGTATCAGGCAATCACTACCAAAGCCTACCCTCTGAAAAGAGTTTCAAACATAGCAGAATTAAAAGAAACAAAACGAAAAATGCCTAATGAAAATCATTCAAAAAAAAAAATACAAGTACTTATTTTTCATCTACTATAATCCTCTTCACCTTCCATAAATCCAACACTACATTAAAAAAAATGACAGAAGTTCTAGGGTGTGGTAAAATATGGGCTAACAAGGCAAACAAAAATAAAGCATCTACCAAAAAAAAAAAATCTACTATAACTGGATTCATGTGAGGTGGCCGATAACCATTCATTAGGACAACACCAGCTTACTTGAACCCAATTTTACTTAGCAGTACACTTATGACTTCTCACCAACTATAACCATAGATGGCAATACAGTCATAAGTCTACTACTATAGTCATTGCTTTTGGACTCCTCTTTGTATACTTAGCCACACTTATAAGACCTGACAGGTCAAAATCAAACTGCATCTTGTGGATAAAATAACAAAGAGAACTTTTTTTCTAGACAGTAACAATTCTTACCTCTCTTGGCGATTGCCTAGTCTGCCTTCCCCCTCCGTTACCAGCAACGAACCCCTGATTCCTGAACTTGCCCATAGCCTGAGGACTGTTGTACTCGGCGAAACCCTGATACGCTCCGCCGCTGGGCGGAGACCGTCCCATCAACTGACCGTTGTTCTGTCTATGGGCGTGGACCTGTCTCCGACCGACGGCGGGCCTGTCCATCAAGGGCACGACCTGGGGCGGCGACGGCGACAGGGCCGGGCTGCGAGGCGACGAGGAAAACGAAGGGCTGAGGGGTCGAGGCGACGAGGAGGTCGACGACGGATTCGACGAGGACAACGACGAGGCGTCCGAATGAGGGAAAGATGCTAGGGTACAGTACGAACCTTCAGATTCGCCAAGTCTGAAACAAAATTATATGTTGATTAGCGTTTTAATTAATCCAACTAGCACGCCAATGATTATTTTTTTCATAATTGGCATGCATATACATATAAACTAGCACACGCTTGTTAATTTAATTTAAGTGCATTTCAGTTTATTAGTGTTATTAATCTGCTCCAATTTTCTTATATTGTAAGGGGCCTAATTAATCATCAAAACAAATTGTTCATTTGTAATGAAAGTCACAACTACAGTTTTTTTTGGAGAGAAAAAAAAGGGGACTTTATTCAATAGTTTCATTATTTTGAACTGAATATACAGGCTGTTTCAGAGAAATGTTACAAAACATCAAAAGTTCCTATGAATATGGATTCCCGGAAACGTTCTTTTTTGGGTTAGTTTATATATCTCGGAAATGATTCATAGGATTTTTTAGTTTGATATGAGTTATATCCACCCTTGAAGTTTGTAACACCATTCCTGAAACACGCTGTGTTCAGTCTTGTTCCAATCCATCAGGTGAGAATGAAAGAGCATTCTAAGATTTTCAAGTAGTGCCAACTGTTTAAGGAACAATTTAATTCGCAGTGTTGCCAAACGTGAACTACTTTTTTTTTGTTTATTTGAAACCTTATTTATGTATTTATTTATTCCCCAACGGGCCTTAACCGAATAAAATTACAATAATACTTGTGAAAACTAATGTCCTCAGTTTCTTAGTAGAGAACATTCTTCTTCTTCTTCTTCTTCTTCTTAATGGCCTTCGTTGGGCAATTTGCCAGCACATTTGAATGCGCCTGAGGTGTGTCTGACTCTAAACCATATCCCAAGCACTATGTTAGCAAACTTTTGTGTATATATAACTGATGTCTTTTTAAGATTTAGTTACTTTGTGCTGTGCTCTGCCTTTGTTTGAGATTCAATGTTAGTCAAACGATACAAGGGCACTTCTACAATAAGGGAAATGAGATCGTCACACGTGGACAGGATACAGTGAGCCTGGAACGCAATAACAGTTAGAGGAGAAGCAGAATGTACTTTCATATATCAATCTTCTGAGTGAGGAATCTATTGAGAATCAAAACAGTTTCAGGAGTTATTTTAGAGAGTATGATGGCCATGTTGACTGGGATTTTTTTGTTGATAAAAATTTGATAGATGTCGAAATTTGGTATACGATTAATGGGGCATTCCAGAAACATTTGTTGTAGGTTTTTAATCTGGCCGCATTTACAGTACGGATTCTCTTTTACCCCTATCCTGCAAAGATGCTGTCCTGTCGAACAGTGCCCTGTACGCATCCTAGTGATGGACGTGATATGCCGTCTATGTGTGTATTGAAGATCTTTGAACCATGTTTTTGTTGCACCTGCCTGTGCCAATTCCCCTTTTTATTGAGTGACTTCTTCCAAGAGACTGCTTGTTCGCAATTTACTTTTGCTTTGATCAAAGGAAGGATGTGAGATGGTTCCAGAGGGAGAGCCCTTGGAACATTGAGAATTCTTCCTATGTTGGCAAGCTTGTCAGCGAATTCATTAGCTAGCATGGCCCAGAATCCATGCTAACTTAACGTTGTTTGCAAAATTAGCTTCTACAATAAGTCTTTTGGTTTTAAGTTCTATTTCACTGCTGTCAGGATTATTATAAGTTCTTTTCAACTTGTCTATTGCACTTTTTGAGTCTGTCAGGATCATTGCATTTTGTATGTTTTTTTGGAGTGCATAGCACACTCCCTCATTTATGGCTACCATCTTCGCTGTGCAGATATCCATTTCGTCCTACAATCTTGCAGATAAGTGGTATTTTCTGGTGGGGCAGTGAATTACATATCCAGTTTTTCCATCCTTCCTAGAGCCATCTGTATAGATTTGTGTGTATGAGCAGTCGAGAGAGCCGATACTTTACCAATTGGTTCCATGTGTTTCCAAATGAAGTTCTTTGACCGGCAAACGGCTCAACTGGACTTCCCTTTCCATTTCGAAACATGGCAAGGCAGTTCTCTGTTTCATCCTTCTTCCATATGGCAGGAACTAGTCGTATGCCTGTACCAGATAGGGGACCTCAACACCTTTCCAGTAATTTGGATTGAACATCTGGTGATATATTTTTTTTTTTCTTCAAATTATTAAATATTAAAAGTGGGTGATTCTCGAAACTGTAGATTTTGGACAAGTATTTGACAGCTAGCCATCTTCTTCTGTATTCCAGATCCATAATATCCATAACCTCATGCATCCCAGGATAAGTCCTGCATTGAGGTCACTGTTGATTTTCTATTGGTTCTTTTTTGAGAGTGGCTTCAACAAAAAAGCTGCATTATCCAGCTAGGATATTACCAGTCCTTGTAGGTCCATTCTCAGAGTTAGAGGGTCAGAACCCCACCATACTCTGCAGGAAAATTTAATTACATTGAGTCCTTTTTTTGCCTTGTGTATTATATTTTCTGTGTGTTTATTGGGGTGATTTATCAATTTTTCAATTTTTCTGAGTGCCTTTTTTCATAGATTTCGGCCTCAAATTTCAGAATAATTTAGTGTATGGAGTTTGGGGGATCTCAAATGACCATTAGGACACAAAATCTCAACAACAAAAAAATAGAAATTTCATCGTTTTAGTAAGAAGGTAAAGTTTGTTTCACCAGGGTTTGTACTTGCCACCAGCATTTGCCTTCTTTGTTTAACAAATAATAATTGACTGAAACAAATCAATGACGTCAAAAATGTTCGTCGGTTCTTAAACCAAAAGTCATTCATTTTAATTTGTCAAAAAAAATTGAATGTGTCTACGATAACCCTTTTTTTTTTTCAAGTTTCAAGGTCAAGTATGAACCCTAGTGAAACGAACTTTACCTACCTTATGATTTAGATTTTGGAAAACTTTGAAACATCATAATTTTTTTCTTTTATAGATAGAAAACTGAAACTTTCACTGAATTTTATCCCAATGAAGGGACTACAATCCCTGAAAATTTCAACTCATTTGGACCTATAGTTCCTGAGATAAAATCGTGTTAAGCTATTTGAGGTGATTTATCAATTTTTCAATTTTTCTGAGTGCCTTTTTTCATAGATTTCGGTTTAAAATTTCAGAATAATTTAGTGTATGGAGTTTGGCGGATCTCAAATGACCATTAGGACACAAAATCTTAACCAAAAAAAATTGAAATTTCATCGTTTTAGTAAGAAGGTAGCTACCTTATGATTTAGATTTTGGAAAACTTTGAAAGATCATAACTTTTTTTCTATTACAGATAGGAAGCTGAAATTTCCACTGAATCTTATCTCAACAAAGGAACCACAATCCCTGAAAGAAGAAGAAAAAACACGTGTTAACTTAGTTTTCATGGACTAACGAAATTAGCAATAAAAAAAATTGATGCAAGTACCCTATTGAATTAAAAGCAAAATTCTGCACCATTGTATCGGGTCTTCAAAAAAAAAAACTAATCGAAGATTGCTTTGATTACGAAAACGTACGTCGCATTACTGTTTATTTATTGGACATTATTATTGACAAATCATTTTGACATTAAAGTTCATTGAGAAAATTAAATAAAAATATTGCTAAGACATACGTTTAAAAAACCATAGCAATCTTAGATTGGTTTTTTTTTTGAAGACCCGATATAATCTTAGGACATATTAATTATACTATACAGGGTGTCCATTTCAGACCAATATTGCTATGTCGCAAACAGAAGTGATGTACCACTATGATAACAGGGAAAAATCAAAAAGTTGATGATGGTGCTCGGGAGACAAAAGGCCCGATTTATATTTTTAGCCTATCAAGTTGTAGAGCCATAATTATTCTATAGTCTATTTCATTGCAGTCGATAGATCAAATCCAGGGTCTTTGGTTAAGGCTATATAAAGTGATTATAAAATAGGGTTTGACGTTATGGTCCTAAACCTTGATTTGAGCTATCAACTACATTGAAATAGACCAGAATAAGTTTCCAAATTTGGGCCTGTAATAATAATTATGTTCTGACTCTTGCCAGCTTACATGACTCCAGTAATTATTGAAAAAAATAAATTATTTGCGCGCATATTATTTTTATGTTCGAACGTGCGACACACAATTTCACATTATTGCGTATTTGTATTTTTCAATTTCGACATTCATTACCGCCGATAAGTTTTATTTTTTGACGTTCGAGATTAACATATTATGAAAACATTCCTATTTACGTGGAATTTATGCCAACACACGAAAGTCCAAAATTAAATTCAAATGTTATATCTTCAAGGTATTTTCCTCTGTATATAGAATAGATCTGCAGGTTTGATGTGGGTCCTTATAAAGGCAACAAGACACAATCGCGAAACGGTCTCTCTCTCGAACGTTTATTAACCGTTGGTTGGGTGCTGTTGGTACTTTCAAAGAGAAATTTAATGTCACTCCCACGACGTATAGCAGTTCAGACAAAAATTACCAATAATCGCCTATTATTGCGGCCTTTCGAATGATATTGTTTTTGACGTTGAGTATACAATTATTCTTCGCTTGCCAGATTGCCTGCAAATTATTTTAACAAAATCACTTGAGTCTAGGTCTGTTATTTAAAGACAATGCATTGGTATTTTATATCCATTCAAAATAACTCATAATCCCAATATGTGGGCTAATTTTATCTCTCATTGTTTCTTGTTCAATTCGCTGGTATATACATACTTTCTATGGATCTCGATTAGCCGATAACCCCGAATCGACTGTTGCGTTGTTGTTGGTACCGAGGTACGACCTGCTTTTATAGCGATTTGCAACCATAACGGGCGGCGTTGCCACGTAGAACAAGTACCACATTCAAAATCGTGGCCTCCAAGGATGGTTCGGTGATTATTTGTCTTTTCTCGTTATGGTTCTGCGATTTGGGAATAATATATTGATGTTTTTGTTTGTGCAAAATTTGCTCAACAAAGGTCCATTACTGCGTAAACATGATTCATGAATGAATAGTCTCTCTGCCTACGTACTAACACACCTACCTACATAAAATATTATATATTTTTTTCA